GTATATTTGTATGCTGTGTCATAAAAAAATAAAAACAAAAAATTTTGCCTAAAAAATTAAAAAAAAAAAAAAAATTTTGGGGTGGACCACCCTTAACATTTAGGGGGATGAAAAATAGATGTTGACCGATTCTCCACCCTGGCCGACAATCACGCTAAGGATCACAAAAATCGGTCGAGCCGTTTCGGAGGAGTTCAAGTTCGAACCCCGTGACACGAGAATTTTATATATTATGATATAAAACTAAATATTATAAGAACTCCTTTACAGTTAAGGCCATCTGCTTGTGGAATGAACTTCCTCAGCAAATTCGTCGTTCGAAGACGTCTAAACAAGTTTAAAAATGACGTAAAACAACATTATCTATCGCTTTGTAATCCATAGTTTTTAATGGCAATATTCAGATTTAATTCTTCTCTCGTGCATTCATTTATGTTATTCATATATATTATATATCTATTTATGTATGTCTATTATATTTTTTTTTTATTTCATTATATTGAAGTCTATTTTGGTATTAAGCGAGTTTATTGAGCACACCACCTCCCACTATTCATTAGTTTATTTTTCCTCGTCCTAAGATTGTCTGGAAGAGATCGCTTTTTAGTACGACCGCCTTTTTGTACCTAGCTTTTTAGACTTATTTTATACTAGTTGTATCAAATTCTTTGTGGTGTACTGTAAAGTATATACTTTCGCCTTTATAATATTAGTAAGAATGGTATGGATTGATGGCCGATCATAAAACTCTGCTTTGGGAGCCCAGTGAAAGGTCGTTTGAAGGTCACCCGGTGGCGGCCTCCACCTTTGCCGCCATTCTTTTTTCTGGGGTACTAGAAAAAAATACTCCCTAGGTGCCTATAACCATAGAAACACGCCCGTCACTTGATATGTACGATGTTTGGCTAGCTTTTTACACGCGGCGTCGCCTGTGCTTGCTTTGCTTATCGAAATACAATAAATGATAAACAAATAAATATTCCGCGACATATTTGTGCAGAACGTTGTCTAGTCCCGTTCAAAGCAAAGATTTATTTATTTATTTACTTATTTATTGATTTATGTATTTATTTCTTTATTGATTTATTTATTTATTTATTTATTTATACTTTATTGTACACCAAAAATAAAAATATATAAAAAGCAAATTACAAATGAATATAAAAGGAAGTACATTAGGCGGTTTTATCGCTCAGCAAGCGATTTCTTCCAGACAACCATTGCGAATAGAATATTTGCTAATGAGACATAAATAACATGTAAATGATAAACATGCTTAGTCGTACATTTTTTTGTGAATAAATATAATTATATTTACAAGAGCCGTGATAGCTCAGTGTCCGGGCGCTCCCCTTTAATTCAATATACTCGAGCAACCCGAGTTCGATCCCCGGTGCCGACACCAATGAAATTGTCAATTTTAAGTGCTGAATTATCACGTGCTCCGCGGTGAAGGAAAACATCGTGAGGAAACCTGCATATTTTCGAAATAATAATTTAAAAAAAAACTCGAGGATATGTGAAGTCCGCCAATCCGCAGTGGGGCCGCGTGGTGGACTGTGCCCTGATGCCCTCTGTACAGAGAAGGCCTTTGCCCAGCTGTGGGACATGTATAGGCTGATACTTTACTTTATATATATTATATAGATATATAAACACGGATATAACAGAATAACACTATGCTCGTCACACAATAATCTGTATATATATATATAAAAATGAATCCCTATTTCCCTTGGTCTCGCCATCACGTGAACGGCTGGACCGATCTAACTTTATTTTTTGTTGTGTTTGTTATTATCAGAAGAAGGTTCTTATGAAAGAAAACATTTAAAAAATTTCCTGAAAAAGTCTAAAAACAACACATTTCTATATTCCCGTACAAAAGATTCGTAATAATACCTACTTAAAAGTCAATTTGAACTTTAATACCATACCATAAAGTTTAAGTGTTAGTGGAGGGGTTCCGGGAAGGCAAAACAAGTGAATGACTGTCGTAAAATGTCACTTGAAATGTAAACGTCTCTTTGCTTTGCATCACTACATAGTATAAAACAAAGTCGTCCCGCTGTCTGTCTGTCCCTATGTACGCTTAGATCTTTAAAACTACACAACGGATCTTGATGCAGATGTTTTTACTAGATAGAGTGATTCAAGAGGAAGGTTCATATGTATAATACATTGCACCCGTGCGAAGCCGGGGAGGGTCGCTAGTTTTCCAGTAAATGATCAAACTCACACTCTTACTTACACTACGTCAAGTGGATCGTCAATGGTCAATAGTCGTATGTGTTTACGATAATACTGATAGGTAATCAAGTTTAGTACAAGCGAAGAGGGGTCAGGACACAACCGCTGAGCAGCCGGGGAGTACGATAAAACCAGCCAAGTGCGAGTGGGACTCGCGCACGAACGGTTCCGTACCATCTTTAAAAGCACAAAAACATCTTGTCTGTCGTATGGGAGCCCCACTTATATTTTTTTTTCTGTTTTTGTAATACTTACGTTTGAAACACATCGCCTGTGAAGTTTGAACTGTGCAACTATCACGGTTCATGAGATACAGCCTGTTGACAGACGGACGGACAGACAGAGACAGACAATCAGCAGAAGTCTTAGTAATATTCAAATTCAAAATATCCTTATTCACATAGACGCTTGCGCGTTCTTATGAAACGTCGAAATTTTACATAGAAATTAATACGTTCGTAAGAGAAGAAACAGGCAAGAAACTCAACAGTTGCTCCTTTTAAAAAAAAGCTCAGTTTACAATCTAATGGTATATGTATAATAGTCTTATTTTAGCCTACGTGAGGGTCCATATAGGGTCCCGTTTCACCCTTTGGTTACGGAACCCTAAAAATGACCACTCGACTATGTCCGTCTCATCTCTCGGAAGCCGGCCGCATTGCGTTGTGGCGCCTCGTGGTGCGCGCTTGAAAGGTCAAGTGGACTTTGCGCAAGGCGGAGTTGATTCGACAAGTTGTGCCGTATGTGGACCACAATGATGGACGTTGCGACAACCCGCAGCGTCCGAACACACCTTGTCGGCCGACGGCTCGTTAAGTTTTACATCGAGCACTCGACGGTTCATTAAGTTTTACATCGAGAACTTTAGTGAGGAGCAATCCGGGCGATTACTTCGACGCTGCTCGACATAATTGTGACATTACTAAAGGAAACTATTTACGGATTTATCGCGTTTATTTTGGTTTTCATACCCGACGTTTCGAATCCTTTACAGCGTTCGTGGTCATGAGACATGTGTAATCAACAATGTTTAATCGCGAAGTACAAGAAATTATTATGTAATTGTGACAGCTGAAGAGGAGACGATTTCTTTTATGCACGTACTAGCCTAATAACGGCTTCGCCCGCGAGACCAAAGGGAATCAACAATGTGTTTTTATTATACACCAGAATATCTCGCAGATGGCTGATTTTTTTCCTACGTAACTGATACGTATCATTACCTATATTTTGAACAATTCACACTAAATCTTTATGAATTATAACCTATATGTTATTCTGACGTATAAGCTATATTATCGTAAACTTTCATTAGAATCCATTCTGTAGTTTTAGCGTGAAAGTGTAACAAACATCCATCCATACAAACTTTCGCCCTTATAATGTTACTAGCTGCCGCCCGCGACTACGTCTGCGTAGAATAAATAGGCTGAAGGCGTAACATTCAGACAGAAACACAGATATGCATAAAGATAATTATGTATATTAATTATAGCCTTTGTGTTATTCTGATGTATTAGCTATATTATTGTAGTTTCATTAAAATCCATTCAGTAGTATTTGCGTGAAAGAGTAACAAACATCCATCCATACATACAAACGTTCGCGTTGATAATATTAGTAAGTATTAGTAAGGGTGTACTCGGGGTGTAAGTGACAAATTCAATATCTTTAAACAATACTTGCTGACCGGACAGACGTTTTCCTGTACAGACGACTTAAATTCGACAACTTAGAAATTAAAAAATAAATGTTATGGGCCGAATTGTGAATCTAAACTATTCTCGAGACGACCTGGAGACACTGAAAGACTAAAAATTTCATGAAAATCGGTCCAGCCGTTTATGAGCTCAGTGACATAGACACGTACAGAAGAATTATATGTACTGTACACTTATTGATTTTCAAAATACTACTAAAGGTTGCGAAAAGATAAGGAAACTATTCCAAGAAGAACCGGCGAAACTCAGTGGGGCAATTTGTTTTTAACAATTATTTGACAATGAAATATGTTTACAAGAGCCTGGGGCGAGCAATTCCTTTCCAGAGTGTGTTATTATTAATAAACACTAATATTAAATAACTTTAGCAAGCAAACGTTCCTTTATATTTAATCAACTGATATATTTTGAACGTTTTCTGGGATTTTGGTATAGAATGCAGTAGAATTACTGTGTTTCTTCCTAGTATTTATATCATTCAATATACCACGACCAAGATAACAGTTCGCAGTGACATGAATAGACAGGTCTGTCCGGGTGAGCATCACTACATAGTATAAAACAATGTCGTCCCGCTGTCTCTGTCCCTATGTTGTATGCTTAGATCTTTAAAACTACGCGACGGATCTTGATGTGTTTTCTGTTACTAGATAGAGTGATTCAAGGGGAAGGTTTATAAATGTACAATACATTGCAGCCGTGCGAAGCCGGGCCGGGTCGCTAGTCTCATTTAGAAAAAAACCTTACTTATCCTTACTAATATTATATACGGGAAAGTTTGTATGTATGGATGGATGTTTGTTTGTTACTCTTCTCTCTTTCACGCAAATACTACTGAATGGATTTTAATGAACAATAATATACTTTACACATCAGAATAGGACATGGCAATAATTTATATACATATTTTTATGTATATCTGTCTTTCTTTCCGAATGTTACGCCTTCAGCCTATTCTACGCTGACGCAGTCGCGGGCAGCGGCAAGTAAAAGAGATTTTAGTCTGAGTTTGAACATGTCCTCTGCTGGATGCTCCGAATCAGTAGAGCCAGCACCGATCGACGCCTCAGATCGATAGTCGAACGCGGCGCCACCGCGCAAAGGTCACGGTCGAGGGGAGCGGGGCACTCCGTGTGGGTCCGTGGAATGTTGGAGGTCCCCGCTCGCCGTGACCCCCTCGGCAACGGCGACCGTGACCCCAATGGCTCCCAGAGCGGCCCGAACGAAACCAAACGAGACATAAGCCCGGTTCCTATATTCAACGAACGACCGTTAGTTATATAAAAGTAAAAAACGTAACAGCCTATACTTGTCCCACTGTTGGGCAAAGGCCTCCTCTATACAGAGGGTATCAGGGCATAGTCCACCACGCGGCCCCACTGCGGATTGGCGGCCTTCACATATTTTTCGAAATATATATATTTTTTTGTTATTATTTCGAAAATATGCAGGTTTCCTCACGATGTTTTCCTTCACCGCGGAACACGTGATAAGTCAGCACTTAAAGTTAAAAACTTCATTGGTGCCGGCACCGGGGATCGAACTCAGGTTGCTCGAGTATATTGAATTAAAGGCGAGCGCCCGGACACTGAGCTATCACGGCTCTGTTAGTTATATAGCTTTGTAATTTTCATAATGACCTGTAGATAAAAGGCGTGTATGCCTGGTACCTATATTAACCAAAGTGGACCTTTTTCCTTACGAGCCGTTGCATCACCTACGGAGAGTGAGTTGCTAGCGTTCCTTTAATCTGCAAGTTGTTACGAAAGTTACGAAGCTATGTAACTAACGGCCGTTCGTTGAATATAGGAACCGTTTATAGTCCTTTTTTTATGTGAAAAGTTGCCAAGCGAGCAGGCGGTTCAACTGATGTTAAGTGAATACCGCCGCCCATGGACATCTGCTACACCCGAGGGTTGCAGAAGCGTTGACAACCTTTCGGAAATTGAGCTTCGGCACCTCACTCACCACACGAAACGGTCTTCTGCGAGGGCGTGGTAATTACCCGGACGAGTCTGCCCATTCGTGCAACAGCCGAGGCTGCTGCGTGGCCGTACCTCAGTAAAATGGGATCACAGAATGCTATGTTTGAGATGGGCGTTGAAATGCCACGTTGCCAGGCGATCGTTACTGTACCGCTTTGCAAATTCGGAGTTGAATGGATGTTTCGTTTACTGAATCCCTTTGCATTAGGAAAGACGTAAATTAGACTCGTTGAAGTCGCTCAGAGCTATGGAGAGGGGTAATCTCTGTATTTCTCGACGTGATAGACGACCCGATTGGCGTGGGGAGTAGTGTACCTGCCCCCTGCGCCAGAGGGTGTGGGTTCAATCCCCAATACTGGAAAAATATTGTGTGATGAACATCGTGTTTTTCCAGTGTCTGGGTGTTTATATACGGTATGTTTAATATGTATTTATTTACAAAAGAAAACTCTGTTTAAGTAAGTTTATCAGTTTTCTAGTACCCATGGTACAAGCGTTGCTTAGTTTGTGACATTTTATTTATTTAATCTTCATTGCCAACCTTCAGTGAAACAATGTAACAAATGGCGGACTTAATGCCCAAAGACATTCTCCACCAGTCAAACAGTGTGGTGAGAGTTTATGGTAGGTGCAGCAAAAGATGCAAAAATAATAAAATTTTAAATAAAGAGAATAATTATAAATAACAATATCAAATATATAGTAAATAGCATTTATTATAATTGGATACAAATAATATATAAAATTGTACACTGTGTGAAAAATGTGTCCGAAATATATAAAAATAGAATTCGCAACGAAGATATCCCCATTAGAACAAAGATGACAAAGTTCTCGAGTGGCAGCCTCGTACTGGCTATCGCAGTGTGGGACGGCCCCCCACTAGATGGAGTGACGACCTGTGCAAATGTGCGAGAAGTGGCTCAGGATCGAGATTCGTGGCAGTCTGATGGAGGCCTATGTTCAGCAGTGGACTCAAAAACATGAAATGATCATGATGAAGAAGTAATACGAACTGATTCTAATGATTCGACATAGGAGCTTTGTTTTAGCGAAGGACGAACACGACCTTGGCGAATCTTGAAAGGAAAAAAGTTAAATCGCTTGTTTTCATTTTTTTTAAATCGATCGTGAAAACCTTTTGCTGCTAATGTAGCGAATATAATAATTATCGCGTAATCAAATAACGCAATAACATTAACGATTGTATAGTTTTTCGTGACATTAAAGACTTTATAATATAATAATGTACAAATGTATTAAATCGAAAATAAATATTTTTTGTACGACTTTTATACAGAAAGGTCACAGTAATGAAAGCGTATCAAGACCTAAAATCTAGCTATTAGTGCCAGACTGTCTTTCAAAATACAACCTGATTCTTAAAAAAACATTGTCGAATATGACCTCTTGAATCGATTTGTTTTATCCAATGACCCAATTGCCGTGCAGTTTCAACGTATATTTGCTTCATGTTTCTGCCTCTTCGAAGTCGTTAGGATTTAACGAGTTTCGTTTTTTTAAACTCATTTACGCAACCGTCTCGTCACCTGTCGCGTATATCGCTTAAATCGATTAACCTCAGATGATGAACGCACGCGGTCGTAAAAACCTATTCATTCTCGTTGTAAATATTTTTCATGGTCGAAAGAGAAATAAAAAGTGTGTGTATTTATGTACGCGCGTAAGAAGTTACACTTCTTTAGATTAACAAAAGATAAATATAGAATTATAGTTAAACTAGCTGCTGCCCGCAACTACGTCTGCGTAGAGGGGTGAAAATTTAGGGTTGTATGTATTTTTTAATGCTGTATCATAAAAAAAATTATATATAAAGAAAAATAGGGGTGGACCACCCTTAACATTTAGGGGGATGAAAAATAGATGTTGTCCGATTCTCCATCCTGGTCGATATGCACACAAAATTTCACGAAAATCGGTCGAGTCGTTTCGGAGGAGTCACACGAGAATTTTATATATTAGATGTCAAAAAGTTGTTATTGGTCGACATGGTAATACCGTGAAGTTGGTCGCTGTGCAATCAACGTGGTGATAATCATTAAGAATGAAAAAAAAAATTGAGGAACCCTTAAAAACTACCCACGCTTCACTAAACTATACCCGACCAGGGAAGAACCGGCAACGAACCCTGCGGTCTCGTCATCAATTCTTTTCGGTTTCTTTTCCAGTTATGTCAAAGTTCGCCGTTAGAGTCGACGCCGCGGTATCGGCGCTTGGTAGCGGTGCCGGCGCGGGTCTGGACGAGAACGACTTCATCGACGCCTCGCGGCTGGTGTACGACGGCGTGAGGGAGATACGAAGGGCCGTGCTGATGAACAGGGTAAGGTTAAGCATCCTGGGAGAGGAAGGTCGTAGGCTCCCGGAGCGATGCGAGCTGATGGAGAAACGGAGTGTGATACGTGAGAATTCTTGTAGCGGATCGCTTCGTGTACAACTCTGTCGCGGTTGATACTTCTAGGAAGGATTAATCCACCTGACAGAAGACCATTCAATAAGCTTAATGTAAAAAAAGTTAAGTCAATAAAGCAGGCGACTGATTGCGCCTTGCGGTACACCACAATATGTTTCTGTTCCAAGTTTTTAGGTCCGAGACATTTTAATGTACCGATACAATTACCAAACAAAACATATAGAGTAGAACAAAAATACCCTGTCAAAGCGAATAATATAATAAGTGACGATGTCAAAGTTATTGTTTAACGATGGCCAGTCTTAATAAGGTCAAGGAAAGCGAGTTTTAACAAACCGCATTTTAGTTCAACATTTGAAATCTGAACACACATGATGCGCGTTCGCAGCTTGCACAGATATTGCTGTACACTGATGTGCTTAAAGATCTCAGCCATTGTCTTCTGGAAGATGTCCAAGTGTAGACACTGTAGACATTTCTGATTCGCGAACGCTGTGCCCAGGACGATGAGGACCTGGACCCCGAGGACGTGGAGTTGGACGAGCATTACACTTTGGAGACCAGGAGCAAATGTGAGGGGACCCCGTTTGTCCGTCCGTCTGTCCGCTTGCGGTGTCATAGTGCCGTCTGTCCGTAACCGTGGCAAGTTTTGGGGCGTGTCAGTCGATCGTGTTATTCGAAATGGCCTTGTCTACCGCGACGTGGGTGCGGATTTCAGTGATGTATCGCTGGGTATCTGAATACCCATCCTTATGTCATCTGTAATCTCCATTTTTGGATCTCACTTTTGTGTCTTACATATGGCAGGAGGCTTACTGTGTTAATGTTATACTAATACGTCGCAAATCTCTATCAAAATTGAATAGCGTTGCTTTTAAGGTTTATCAATGGTTTTCTTTTGGTAGGACATTAAACTGAATTAAAACTGAAGTTCAAAGGTTAGCATAACTATTAACCGAGGAAACTAGCGTTCTTGGCGTGACGCGTGGACTAGGTTTATCAGATGTTGTAAATATTGGATGTAATTACAATTGTAAATTAATAATACACTTTAAACTTTAGTTTTCTAAAGATCATTTAGCAATCGTATTCATAGCACAAAGGTGAGAATCCATCGGAATTGGAATAAATTGACTGACACGGCCCGTTCGTTGTCATATTTGTAACCAGAATCCTAATATTTATTGTGTTGTGATGATATTTTTCGTTGTTTTTTTATGTTTGCATGTTTGTGCAACACGCCTTGAACTGGATCTAGTGTTATTGGGCTATCGAAATACGTTCTCACTCCAAGTCTATTTCAAAATAGCTTGGAAGCATTGAAAGTTCTCATTTATTGCAAAAATTTTTTAAACTATTAAATTAAAATAATTTTACAGTTGGTCCTTCAGGCCGGATACTTGAATTTGTTGTATTTATTATGATATACTTCGCTTTTTATTGCGATAAAGTTTATATAATATAAATTATAACAACATCTTAGATCCAGATCGAGGCGTGTTTCGTTCATACAGGGTTGACATATCATCAAATCCGCCGGTGGTCTGGGTTAACTGGCGACGGTAGTGTTAATTTGGCTTGATAGAAACTAATAATTAAATGTATACTTCGAATTCTTCTTTGTTGTTATCAATTTGAATTCATTGCCCCAGTTGCGCAAGAGGTTTTTTATCACATTGAAGTAGGCTATCACGCCGCCTTAGCCTCACCGTCGCAACTGACCATCCGCGACTCAACACCACCCACCATCGCATGCTAAACGTGTCCGTCTGTCCGCTTGCATGTGTGCCCGTAGACCAGCGACGATCTAGACACCGATACAGAGTTCGAACCCGTCGAGGACATGACTATGGAGACCAGAAGCAGATGTGAGTATGAAGTCGCGAAATATCAAATCGTCTGAAGGGAGCCGTTGCACTCTTCGCGTCTTTATCTTAGAGGTTCCGTACACTACCCACCCGGATGGAGGGAGAATTTCTGTTTCTAAATTTTAGGGTTCCGTGTACCTTATTTAAGGAACATAGAAATGTGTTTTGTGTTTTTAGTCCTGCATTATCTATATTATGTTGCCACTGGTCTTGAAGTTAGAAACAAGAAATACTATTAATATATAATGCTATTAGTATTCTTTCGTCTATTTTCTTTACCTGTCCTCGTTTTCTTTAAAATCATAATTACTGTTAAATCTTTTGACATTTTTTACCGTAACCTCTCCTCCATTTCAACAAACTCTCATCACAGCTGTTCTAGTTCTCTCTTAACAAAAGCCTAAGTTCCCTAATTCTGCTAATAGTTTGGCCCTCGATCAAAATGTATTCTGCTTTCGAATCCGTTCTTTAAATAGTTGTACCCTCATTTTCATCATTTCATCTGTAACTAAAACATGTCTTGCACCCTTCATGCTATCTACGTAATACGCACCTGTTTGTATGTATATGTATTTCTATATCATTGCGTGCATGTATTTTTGTTGAATCTTTTATTTATTAACGTCTTAATAAACTTAATCGAAAATACTAAGGTAAGGTAATGTAATCTACCCGGAGAAAACTACATGACGTTTAATGGGTTAATTTTTCCAATTAATTTTTATACTCGAAACTTAAACGCAAAGGAGTTGGGGATGCTATAGTGCCGTCATTACATTGACGATGATTGTCTGCAATCATCATTAGAGGTCTATGTGACGTGAATGCCAAAGGAGATGAAATAGTTTAATGCTTAGAATTATTCATAACCATTGGTCACTACGTGAGCGGTTTTAATACGACTGCACATATTATTGAAACACCAGTAACTTGTGCATACAGTAGTGAATGCTATGCCACTACGTGTTTTACAACTTCTTTTACTTCTCCACCATCAATCCAGATAGTCTTATGATTAATCTTCATTAGATGGTTAACTGTAGGGTGGTGTTCCGGGTGTAGAAGGAACCATGTCTAACGTCTTGAATTACCATATACTAACAAGCTATCTCGTGTCCACAGCGAGCGCTCACACAGGCGAGCATGGCGTAGACGAATATCCCGACATTAGTGGTATCACCAATGCCAGGGTGAGTATCGTCTAATTCAACATTTCTTTATTCAATATAGACGTCAAAAAACTACCAACGTTTCCTAAAATAGAACTGTACAGAGAACATCCGGTAAGAAACTCTGCGGTCTTGTATTCTTTGTTTTATTATATAAATGTACAACATTATTTAGATTTAAAGTCATCAGCAGCCGGGGGACTTGCAAGTGCAATAGTCATTCCGACACATCCTTGTCCTTGATGTATTCTTCGACATTATAATAGGCCCTTCCCATTAGGGAAGCTATTAAAAAATATTTAAATATGTTTTCACTTGTTGTTTTTGGAAGTTAATATATATTGTACATAATATCTACCCAATAAGCGACTTTTTCGGTACTTCCACAGTATCACCACGGTGTCGACTCGAAGTGGTATGGTTTTTTGTAAAAAGATGGATACTATTACATACATACATGATTTTCTGAAGTATGTATAGCGAAGAGGGCCTTAAAAGTTCAAAAGTAAATTATCGCTTACGGACCAGCCTGACCTAACATCTAGTACTTTATTTGGTTGCTCTGGTGTTTCATCTTTCCTTTTAACTTTATACAATAGTGAGGTGTCATCCGCAAACAAAACAATTTGAGACCACATATGGCAAATCATAAATCTAAACTAAAAACAAAAAGGGAACCAGCATGAGAACCCTGAGGAACACCATTTTATTATAGACCCTGATGACTAAATACCATTTTGATATCCCCCTCCCGTAGCAGACACTCTGTTTAATTGTCTGTTGATTACTTTTAATAGTAAATGTCATATCATTGAGCAATGTCTCAGAAAACCACAAATATCTACTTTATGCTTATCAATTAAAAGTTATACATCAAGGATCTTGCTAAAGAGACGGTTTATATTTTGATATAACAAACTAACAGTTTTAACATTTAGTTTATCTTTTGTCGCTCAATATGCTAAAAAGTATTAACTTCAGTATTTATAGACAATCTATTTAATACTGGATTTCAATTATTTCTAATATATACTAATAATGAAGTTAGTTTTGCTTGTTTATTTGATAGATACACAGTATCTCATCAGAATAAAAAGAGTAATAAATTTAATTATGTCAAATAAATGAAATTTGTCATTATGACGGCAAGTCAGGTGATTTGATAGTTGATTTAGCGTATATGTATATAACTTACGATGAAAAATACCAATAGCTAGATATCGCAATAGATCACAATGCTGAGGGCACTCAACGAATCTTAAGGTGCATTCGTAAGCTGTGATCGTTATATATATATATTTATTTAGTCTTTATTGCATTTCCTTAAATACCGAACACAACAGTCGAGTGTTAACCTATGGTGTAGTGAGATTCGTCTGGTACGTCCAATTATATTATATACAAATTCAAGCTAGATATGACACAAAAGCAAGCGAAGCTGAGGCACTCAAATCATACCAATTGGTGTAATTAGATTGCAATTCTATAGACTGCTATCCCTTTCCGTACCATACGTTCTATATCATCTGTCACATTCGCTTATACATGTCATATAGTGTAAAGCGGAGCAAATCTTTATTAAAAGACTATTCTGTACCTCAGAGGCAGAGGCATACAATAGTTACTCCACATTTTTCAATATTATTTTTCTTACACCATTAAAATAGCAAGAACAAATTCTACATAATAGTATAAAATGTTAAGTCCTATGACGCTTAATTAATAAAATATCCAATCGTATATGACATCATCTACTATATAATATAAAACAAAGTCATCCCGCTGTCTGTCTATCCCTATGTATGCTTAGACCTATAAAACTACTCAACGGATCTTGATGCCGTTTGTTTTACTAGATAGAGTGATTCAAGGGGAAGGTTTATGTCCTTAATTCGTTACTAATATTATAAAGGCGAAAGTTTGTATGTATGTATGGATGTTTGTTACTCCTTCACGCAAATACTACTGAATGGATTTTAATGAAACTTTAGAATAATACAGCTTTATACATCAGAATAACACATAGGCCATAATTTATATACATATTTCTATGTATACCTGTCTTTCTGTCTGAACGTTACGCTGTCAACCTATACTACGCAGACTTAGTCGCGGGTAGCAGCTAGTCCATACTAATATCATAAATGCAAAAGTATATCTGTCTGTCTGTCTCACTTTCACTCAAAACTACAGAACCGATTTAAATGAAATATGGTACCGTCTAGAGCTTGAGAAAGGACATAGGTTATTTTTCAATTACAAAAGTGTTGTAAAGGGTTGAAAGATATTTATTTAAGGGCTTCAACGCGAGCGAAGCCGCGGTCGAAAAGCTAGTACTCAATAATGCATTCAAGGATTCACTGACGCATTTTACGCCTTTCCCGTAAAATTTGCGTTTTGTCACACAATACCGTACACCCCTGGGGTACAGTTTGGTCCGGTCTATCGAAACAGGAGGCGATGCGCAAGATGACGGAGGAGGACAAGCGCAAGATCCTGCAGCAGGTGGAGCTGTTCCGCCGCGAGAAGATGACCTTCGACAACGAGGTCGCCAAATGGGACGACGCGGGGAACGACATCATCATGCTGGCGAAACACATGTGCATGATCATGCTCGAGATGACGGACTTCACGAGGTGAGGAGCACACCGCATCACCAACTCATCAAACAGGGCCGATGAACTTACTATACAGGGTGATTGTATAGACGACGGACATATTAACAGGGCATATGCAGAATTTGATTCTGAATCTGAATCTGGCACGTACTTGTGACGACATTTTTTTGATTTTTTTTTCAAAGATTGTTTTTAATTATTTCAAACATTATGGACACCCTATTAGAAATTCCTGCCTTACCGTCTCAATAAATTACCCATTGACGAGCACTAAAACTGTTCGCCGAACGCATGATTACTAAACCGCTTATCAATAGGGTGACCACTTTTAACGGGATAAACAGACAATGTTTGAGTTGATATTTTTCTGGTTATTTCTTGTAAAAATAAAATATTAACAATTTTTTTTGAATTATGGAATGCTCAATTAACATTATGTCAAAGTATGTACTTCGTCTAAAAAATCAACCTAAATAGTATTAACTGTTTATTTAAAGTTTTACACTTTATTTAAAGGTTGCAAATATCAATGGGCGGCGGTTGTCACTTAACATGGCGTGAACCGCCAGCTCGTATGCCACCTTGTCATATTAAAAGAAAAGAAAGGTGTAGGAAATCTGTTCTGTTTTTTAGGGAAGGAAATGGCAATTTTTTTGAAAAAAAAAAAGGTCAGTAAATTCGTATGATATTTGCCCCCCCCCCCCCCCTCCTCCACCTACTGAGGTTGTTCGAAGGTAGTTTCAATAAGTAGCAGTTCCATATAGCCTTTGCCCCCCACGGGGAGAGGGGCGTTTTGAAGGTGACAAAACCAAATGGGAAGGTGACGAAAACGGGTGTAACCCCTCCCCCCCCTCCCGCAGAGGTCGCGGGCCGCTGAAGACCACGATGGACGTGATAAACGCAGCCAAGAAGATATCCGAGGCGGGCACCAAGCTAGACAAGTTGACGCGGGAGATCGCCGAACAGGTGAGCATTGTATATCATCCAGAAGCTGCTTACGTGTTGTCTACGGTTATAGAATAAACTCAAATTCAAATATCTTTATTGGATATAAAAGCATTACACTTACTTATTATTGGTCCGGTGAATAAAATACTCTGGCCTGACAAGAACCGGCGAAAGAAACTCAGCGGAACATTTATTTTGCAAATTTATCGAAGTCCACTTGAAAGGGCCTGGAGCGATCAGTTCACTTGCAGCGTGTGTTATCATTTAAATAATCACTAATGTTATAATAGCCAATATAAATATAAAACCGTTTAAAAACTTTAAAGTTAAACGGATTTATTTTATGTGCACTGAAAACTACAATATTGTATGGTCATCTAAATTAAATGTGTGTACCAAATTTCAGATCAATCTGACAACAGGAAGGTGCTTAAATTTCAATTTCTAATTTTGACCCAAACAAATAAATTCCGTACGGGTCGAGCTAAATAAAACCGTTTAATAATAAACTTCCATACACATTCTGTGGAAGCCTAGGTCCGGTCGCTTGATCCGGTTTCATATAATAAATATCGATATATCGACATTTATATATCAAAGAGAAAATATCGATATATCGACGACTTTCCACTTCGATGTATAAATATCGATATATCGATATTTTCTTTTAGATATATCGAGGACGATACTGATGTTTTTCACAAATATCGATATATCGATACATGTATGTCCTCACTATCACATCCCCACTGACCGTCCCAACCCTGGCTCCGGCACCCGGCAGTGCCCGGAGTCCTCGACGAAGCAGGACCTCCTCGCCTACCTGCAGCGCATCGCGCTCTACTGCCACCAGATCCAGATCACCAGCAAGGTCAAGGCTGACGTCCAGAACATATCCGGCGAGCTCATCGTCAGCGGGGTGAGTGATGAGTGATGAGTTAGATAAGTTCTAACGTTATTACATTGCTTGTAATGTTTTAACATTTTTTTTTATGTGAAAAATTGCCAAGCGAGCAGATCGTCCCCGGACGGTATAACCACTAGTGCTGCTTGCTCGTTATAACATTTGTTAATGTTCAAGTTCAGAAATAGTAGTAGAATCTACGATGGTAGGGCCACGCAGCAGCCTCGGCTGTTGCACGAATGGGCAGACTCGTCCGGGTAATTACCACGACCTCACAGAAGACCGGTATGATTTTCTTTCGCGTTTCGTCTGGTGAGTGAGGTGGCCGGAGCGCAATTTTCAAAAGGCTGTCAGCACATCTGCAACCCTCGGGTGTGGCAGATGTCCATGGGCGGCGGCCCGCTAGTTTGGCAACATTTCAAATAAAAAAAGTAAAGAAGTTACTTTTCCAAGACATTTCTTTGCAGTTCATTAGATTTCAAAGATTCCAGATCGTCTTCAGCTGTAGAATCGCAGCTCGATAGACCAGATCATGCACGAGCTTAGATTAGCCATGTCTCAATAGTCCTGTAAAGAATTGGTACAGGGTTCTGATGAAAGCCATAAATTACACTTGGGGAACCTTTCTGAGGGACAATTCTCGCTAATTCAGATGTTCTATCACCTGCGTCATTGGGATCAGCCTTGTCGTATTTCTTTTAGCTCAGTGTCCGGGCGCTCGCCTTTAATTCTATAGACTCCAGCAATCCGAGTTCGATCCCAGGTGACGGCACCAACGAAATTGTTAATTTTACGTGCTTGACTTAACACGTGCTCAGCGGTGAAGGGAAACATCGTGAGGAAACCTGCATATTTTCGAAATAATAATTAAAAAAAAACTCGAGGATATGTGAAGTCCGCCAATCCGCAGTGGGGCCGCGTGGTGGACTATGTCCTGATACCCTCTATATAGAGGAGGCCTTTGCCCAGCTGTGGGACATGTATAGGCCGTTACTTTACTTATTTATTCCTCATTTCAGCTGGACAGCGCCACATCCTTGATCCAGGCGGCCAAGAATCTGATGAACGCCGTTGTGCTAACTGTGAAGGCCTCCTACGTGGCCTCCACCAAGTACACCAGGCAGGGGACGATCGCTGTGAGTAGACTCTCGTGTTCTGATGATGCTGGGGTCGAGGAGTTGGGTGTTGTCAGTTCTCTGTTGTGTCTGCGTGAGGTGTGCGAGTTTTTACGGCATCTGCGTCCTAACCCAAGAGACTCCCGTGTTCTGATGATGAGTTTCTCATGATGCACGGGTCGAAGAGTTGGGTGTTTCCAGTTTTCTGGTGTGTCTGCGTGAGGTGTGCGAGTTTTCACGGCATCAGCGTTCTAACCCAATAGACTCCCGTGTTCTGATGATGAGTTTCTCATGATGCACGGGTCGAAGAGTTGGGTGTTTCCAGTTTTCTGGTGTATCTGCGTGAGATGTGCGAGTATTCACGGCATCAGCGTTCTAACCCAATAGACTCCCGTGTTCTGATGATGAGTTTCCCATGATGCACGGGTCGAAGAGTTGGGTGTTTCCAGTTTTCTGGTGTGTCTGCGTGAGGTGTGCGAGTTTTCACGGCATCAGCGTCCTAACCCAAGATACTCGTGTTCTGATGATGAGTTTCTCATGATGCACGGGTCGAAGAGTTGGGTGTTTCCAGTTTTCTGGTGTGTCTGCGTGAGGTGTGCGAGTTTTCACGGCATCAGCGTCCTAACCCAAGATACTCGTGTTCTGATGATGAGTTTCCCATGATGCACGGGTCGAGGAGTTGGGGATTGTCAGTTCTCTGATGTGTCTGCGTGCAGTGTGCGAGTTTATAAGGCATCAGCCTCCTAAGCATATATCCACCGTGTACGGTGATGGCTTCATTGGGGAATGGTGATGGGAATGGTAATGGTATTATACCACAGCGCGGCGGATGTTCCATCAGCACCCGTGGCGTTGGGTGTTTTGTCAGTTTTCTGGTGTGTTTGCGTGAGGTGTGCGAGTTTTTATGGCATCATTGTCCCTACCCTATATCCACCATGGATCCATGGAATGAAGGTGATGACGCCATGAAGTGGTAATGGGGTTGTACCACGGTGCGATGGACGCACTGATGTTGTGGCCGGTGTGCCAGATTCCACCTTAGGATTGAAGGTGCTTCAGTATTATCATCGTTTTTGGTGATGGTTGTCTGATCACCAAGTAGCGAATGCGTGTATTGCTGGCCAGCCCTTGTATTTTCATTAAAATAGGACAATGATGGTTACTACGCCATGACAGTTTAGTAGATCAGATTGTCTCAAAACTCCAATCGATCGGAAAATAGTTTCATCATCAGATGGTAATGGTTGGGGCTGACTATCTGGTCTTGTTGAAAGATGGATCTTTTTAAACTCTTCGAAAAGGAAATGATTTTAAGTAGGATGAAAGTGTTTGTGGTCGTCACAATTCGCGACCAGCCCACTGCTGAACGGGCTTGCAGGTTGTTGGGTATCCTACAATGAAAATGGCAGCAAAGTCAGCCTGTTCCTGTCCCGTGAAGGCATTAGTATGAGTATTAGAAATAAGCTAGAGATGAGCTATGCATTGTATGAGCGCTTTGAAGGGCTGCTTCTACTATAACTATTGCGGCAGTATTTCTCTTGATTATATTGGGGGATGAAGAGGGTTTCTAAGGGGAGGGAGGGGGGGGGGGGGGGGGTATTGTAAGTGACTGAATTGACTTTGACATTGAAGTGACATTTATGAATAGAAATGGGTTTTTTTTCTAAGGAGCGAGTTTGTGTAATGCGTTTAACGCGTTGGGTTTGGGTTTCGAATTAGGGATGTCGAAAAAATATCGATATATCGGATTTATTTGGATCCAATATATCGATACAGAATATTCAATATCGAAAATAATATCAATAACGAGAATGAAAAAAATACCTACCAACAGACAACAGGATTACCAGGAACTAAACAAAAAATATCGATATATAGATAATTCCTCTTCGGTATATCAAAATCAAATGTCTTTATTCAACATAGGAGTATTACACTCGCTTATTGATAGTCAAAATACTACTACCGGTTCGGAAGAGAAAGCCACTGTACTGAGAAGAACCGGCGAAAGAAACTCAGCGTGCCTTTCTTTTTTTTTTAAATAAACAATTTGACATGAATTCATTGCAAATACAATATAAGAACTCTGATTGAAAGAGCCTGGAAGCCGATATCGATGCTTTTACGAATATCGATATATCCCTTCACTCTCGACATCCCTATTTCGAGTTCGCGACTGATCGGTGAAGATAGATCGAGTATATTGTGTTGTGCTTTTAATACAATTGGTCGTGTGCTTTGCTACGGGCTGACGGGACAGGGCAACTATGTAAGTTTGAACTTGACGTAGACGTTTTTGTCTGCATGCTTTCGTTTGTCTGTATGTGCGACCGTAGACGTAGCGTGTGCTAGTGGTGGTGGTAGGAGGGGGGGGGGGGGGTTTACTTTGACGTGAAAGTTCCTACTTTGCTTAAATTCAATTTTTTTTTCATATTTCGAACTTGAACTGATTTCAAATTCAGAATATCTTTATATTCATATAGACGCTTGCTCGTTCTTATGGAATGTCGAAATCTTACATAAAGATTAATACGCGCGTAAGTTTACGGAAGAGCCTTATTACGTCACGTTCATATACCCCGAACGTTACATGAGCGAGAAGAAAGATGTCGCTTAGAGAGAGACGTATGCACTCGATATAAAGCGAAAGGATAGCGTACGTCTACAACGTGAACAGCATGTACCATGTGCAATTAATTTGAATTGTCTGTCATTCTGTTTTGTTATAATGTGAATTGTGATCAATTAATCTGAATTGTGTCACGTTTGTTAAAATTTTTATTCTCTTCTGTCATGTATATACCTATTCATTGGACTTTTTAAGCGATTAGGCTATTAATCTGATGTTAAGCGATTATAGTCTCCGAGAAACACGAATTATTGCAGTCGATTCGTTATCTCAATCAACTCAAGGGTTTTTAGGACTTTTCTGACCACCGCTTTCATGTTCACGGTCGTGGATAGTTTTGACTATCGTTTAAATTTTTTATTTATGGTAGATATATTGATAAGCCAAAGAAACCGATGCTCAAATCGATTGCATGTTTACCCAAAGCCTGGCTAAGTTACCTCACTTTTAATTTATAAATTTGCATGCATCTTTTGCTTATAAAGATATACGATAAATTACTTCCGCTTTTAGCTTTGCACGTGTCAGCTACGCGATATTTAATTTTCTTTTCGATTTTACCTCTTTATTCTGTAAGGTAAAAAAATAATCCGATGTAAATGTCGTGGGTGCTGTAATTATTGCGCTGATTTTTAAACACCGTTTTATTTGGAGAAATATTAATGACAATCTTTTCGTACTTTTTCTACCAATTTTAATATTAGTACACGTTAAGGTTCGTCATTCTCTTGGTGGACCTTTTTCATTACGTATGATTTGTTATTGAGGGATAATTTCTGTACATCCGGTTTGAGCCGATCTTGTACAGTGAGATTATCTCCGGATGTCCGAGCATCCGCCAATAATGCTCGTACCACTCGGGTGGATCCGTCGGCATCTGGTCCGGATGTTACATCATCCGAACCAACTTGGCGCAGTCTTTCCCATTTTTATTAAGTTTTTATTTTGTAATAATTTATTTTGTTTTTTTTTTTAATCAAAAAGGTTTTTTTTTTATTTTGGCCTCCGGATCGTATTCCCCAATTATTTGGTAATGGCTGAAAATCAGCTTTTTTTCTTGCAAAACTCTGCCGAACGACGGCCTTTTTGGCTATGATCTGAGACGTAAAATAATGAAAAGGTAAAAGTAAACATGAGAAGACAGAGGTATTGGGTTCGATCCCCGCACGAGACAGCTATTTGTGTGGCCGACAGATGGTCGTTTTGCATCTGGGCATGCGATTTCATTTGTGATGAGTCCGCGGCCCAGGGGAGCGTTGGCCTAATGAACCTCCCTGCCCCCGCCCCCCCTCGCGCAGTCCCCGATCGTGGTGTGGCGCATGAAGGCGCCGGAGAAGAAGCCCCTGATCCGGCCAGAGCGGCCCGAGGAGGTGCGCGCCAAGGTGCGCCGCGGCAGCCAGAAGAAGCAGCCCAGCCCCGTGCACGCGCTGGCCGAGTTCCAGAGCCCGGCGGAGAGCGTCTAGGTGGGCCCTAGCCGCTATTGTTGGCTTCGTGTTGGCCCGTTGGCGTTTGCGACGCCCATTAGGGTGGCAGGTGCGCTGGCAGAGTGCCAGAGCCCCGCCGAGAGCGTCTGGGTCGATACTGAGCCCCCGCTGGCTCAGCTTGGCACTAAGACTCACACCATTAATACTTTACGATCTGGACCCCCTATGGCTTAGGTGCACACTTTACGATCTGGACCCCCTATGGCTTAGGTGCACACTTTACGATCTGGACCCCCGCCGTCTCAGATTGATACATTAGCTCGCTTTAGAGCTACCGCAATGCGAAAAGGCGGGGTCCGCTTGATTTTAAGAGTTTACCGCCGCCCCTGGACCCTTGCAACGCCCCTTAGGGTAGCCGGTGCACTGGCAGAGTTCCAGGGCACCGCCGATTGCGTATAGGTGGGCCCTTAGCTTCTTACTTAGCAGGCTGCCAAACGAGCAGGCGGTTCGCACGATGTTAAGTGAACACCGCCGCCCACGGACATCTGCCACACCCGGTGGTTGCAGATGCGGCGACAACCCTCTGTAAATTCTGCCCCGGCCACCTCGCTCACCAGACGGAACGCGAAAGTATTATACTTCCACTTGCGTTCTTCTGTGAGTTCGCGGTACTTCCCCGCGTCATGTTAATCCGTTGACATTTGCAACGCCTCTTAGGATGGCAGAAGAGAGTTTCAGAGCCCCGCAGAGTGCGTATAGGCCCATACGACGATCTGAATCCCACTGTCTTAGCTTGATACTCTACGATCTGAACCCCGCAGCCCATTGACATCTGCAACAGCCGTTTGGTTGCAGATGCGTTGCCACCTTTTAATAAAATACACATTAGACAATTGCTACTGAACATTACCAGTAATGCCTTTTGAAGAACTTTTCCCAGCAGTGGGATTCAGCTGGCTCGAGTCATATGTTCGTTTCCCGCACGTAGCGTTCTTATACTGTTGGTCGGTCATTTCTTATTAGTGTTTGCTCATTTACGATATCATATTGCCATAATACAAAAATGTTATTTAAAAAAAAACATAACTTTCTTTACTTTACTTTTGTTTCTTCTCTGGTTTCCAGATGCGAGAGACGACGCGAGATCACACACCGGACAACGTATTTATTTCGATAGCTCTTAAGTCGCATCAGGATTTTTTTTTTAGATGAATCTATTGACGCTAAATTAGACACGGTTTTAGCTCGTCATCCAGTCGTGGCCAGACTCGGCCAAGTATACCCCGGATACTCTGGCATCCGGCTGGATTAGACAATATCCGTCTGGATACTTTACATAGAGATGGATTTTTCGATTTTTTTTTTTGCCCGGATACTCAATCATCCGGTCGGATACGACACGTTAAAGTTCGGAAATCGTTGTAATCGTGTAGTCTGTAAGTTAGCATTTAGTCCCGTTCGTGGTTTAGTCGCGGTCTGTTGCGATTCTGTCTTCGAAACTATCTCGGGGCGGGAGGAAATGGCAGCTGAGTGGGATCGCGGTCAGGATGGTGGGCATGCTAGGACTTTTTTTAACTTTATTTATGTAATAAACAAGAAAACGATTGAGATTGTAGGCCTTTTATACGTTTTGAAATAACTTAGGTGCAATATTCTCTTTCTCAAACATGTGTACGGAAAGCTACCACCTGTCACGTGTCCGACTACGTCTATACTAGCTTTCCTTGAACTTCGTTTGTATTAAACGGCACATAAGACACGTTGCGATAGTCATTTTTGCACATTGACGAATACCTGAAAACTTCTTTTATACACGCGAACATTACACGCGATAAAACTTATTTACGAATACGGAAAATTTCGTAAATTAGTTTCATTATTATGTGTAATACACTCCGTTGGGTATCGAACGCGTCTCCGCCTACCGCTGTCCACGGCCGAGTATTAGCATACGGTATTATTAGTTTTGTAATCGATTTTAGTCTCTAACGGCGATAAGTTTTTTTTTTTATTATTTTCTTAGTGACAATGTTACGTACACGTGTAGACGAAAAAAAATATTTAAACATTTTCTCAGCACTGCTTATCTCTCTGGCAACCCGACGATTATGAATATAAGAAAAAACAACAGTAATTACCATAGTAATTTACTTATTTAAATTTATTATAACGTTTAAATGAATAACTAACTCGACGAATAAAACGAGTTCAATCAACTTTTCGCATCATTCCTGTAAAGCCTCAGAAAAATACATTATATGAGTGTCTTATTTTTAGCATTTAATATTTTTCGGACCTGGCAACACATTTTTAGAGTAACCACCGCGAGAATAAAACTGAAATCACGTTTTGTAAGATTTTTCACACTTTATTAACACAATTTCATCAGATTATAAAGCTGTGTACAAAATCGTAATTCTTTTTAACAAATTGTATTTGTATTTTTTCCCGTTACTGGCAACACAATGTATACAAAAAATCTGTTCTGATGTAAGATAATTTAGTTAAACTATGTAAAATTTAACATAGCTATCGAAGTATACAACTAACTAGATTATATTTAGACTAAACGAGTTATTTATATTAGAGTTTCTCTCGTATTATCGTTCAATTGTCAACAAATTAGAGAATGGCTATTTAATATTTCATCTTTGTCGTCATTTAGCTGTCGTAATTTCTCGAGTGTTCTTTGTGACCAAAATTAAATTGATATAACGAAATTATTTATAAATTCAAACCAAAACCTAAATAAGAAATGAACTTTAGTGGATTTTTATGGGTTTTTGAATTGATTTGGGAGTATTTTTTTTTGAACAGCTGGTAACACTGTACCGAGCTGCAGTTTACAGTTTCTTTATTTAATCTTGCCCTCGTATTTTCTTCTACTCCCTTTAATATTCTCCAAAGGAAGTTCGTAGAGATTTGATCCGAATTGGCGATTGATTTTCTTTTAGATTTTTAGAAACCCCAGATTAAGATTAACAAATGCCAATAACTATTATATGAGATGCCAAAATTCGCCAATTTAAATTTGTTTGTCTAACAAAAAAATACAATTAAAATTTGTCTAATAGATAATGAAAAGTACGGGGAAATCTCTGAAATAGGATTTGAACTTAATCATATTTAACTAAATATCTGTAATAATTATGTTTGATGACGTTTTCCATTTGATACTTAGTCGTTTACGATATTTATTAGGTGAATTTTTACTATTAGATGTTTGTATTAGGCGACAGGTCAATATAGCGCCGTCTATTGAAGGGGGGTGGACAGATTTCAATAGGGATTTGTTTCGGAAACTTTTTTACACTTGCAACGGATATTCGGCTACTTTTTAGGCCGAATATTCAAGTGACATGTTTTGTTGTTGACAAATTATTGGTAAAATGCATATTATATGTAGTATTATAATAACTTGTTTTACTTTAGATCATTAAAGAAGTCAAAGTAACTTGAATAATCGTAATTGAAATTACGCAATGGAAGATTATTAGCAGAAGTAGGAATTTTTATACATTTTTAGTGAGTACATACCCGTTAATTCTGCAATTTAAAAGAAATAAAAATGTCTAGATTACCATACTATGGCCATAAAGACCGCCTAATATTCGCTATTCGTAATTTTCGATAATTTTTAATTAAATTGCATTCAGTAAATATTAATTAAAAATTATCGAAAGGCGCTCTGGACCACCCCCCCCCCCCCCATTTAATAAGGCAGTATGTATGCACTCTTATAGTTAATAATCTATGGAACTTAGTTGTAATAAATTGTAATATTGTTTGATACAAAAGATATGTTCTTAGTTATAAAGGTGAGGTTATGCGAACAGTATGGGACGGTAACAAGTTTGTTTGTTTGTTTATCACCAACACAGTACATACAGAAACGGAACTTATCAGCGAGGTTTATAGAAAAGTGATAAGTTGCAAGACCCCTGGCTGCTGCCGATTGTATACCTAAATAAGTGTGTATAATTGCATCAAAAAAAAAAAAAAAAGAACAAGACCGCAGAGTTTCTTGCCGGTTCTTCTCTTCAAGTCTAGTTTAGTTAACCGGTGGTAGATTTTTTGTTGACGTTCAATAACAGCTCAAGTCAGGCCTATATTGAATAAATATACTTTGACTTTGACTTCATTATGGGTAAAAACTACTTTTTAACAGACCGCATTGTTGACAAAGTAAGGATGAAATACATACGGTAATTATTTACGTTTTAAATCAACATCATTATTCAAAGAACCCCAATCAATGTGATGAAACGTGATGAACTCTGCCTTATTTAATTAATCACTATTTGTGATGGACTAGGTCTACTACTGGGTATCACATTATTATAACATTGTAGATCGTAAAAGTAAATCGGATATTGGTTCAAACAATTAGCAATATACGACGCTTGTGTCATCAAAGTATCATTAGGTCTACAACCTAATTCGAGCGGATTTTTTTTAGTCCTTACTTAATTTTTTTTTAGATTAGTTGTTTCATTTCCAGTAAGCAAATTGAATTTTTGCTCTTCAAGCACGATTTTGATCTGTTGAAGGTATCTCAAAATTTGTCGGTACGATATCGAAACTCCAATAATTCTTCATAAAATTTAATGATTAAAACAGAATTTAAAAGGTTATGTTTCTACGAAAAATTGATAAGTTGAGACATTATACAAAAAAAGGAGCATTTAATACCTGACGTACTTTCTTTTGTTTTGACGGTTTATTAGGACTGTATCCGATATGTCAAGGTCGATATTGATATTTTTATGAATATCGATGCATCGATATTTTTATAAGTATCGATACATCGATAATTTTCGTCACTGCTGATATCCCTAGTTTTACTATATGCTAGAGGTGAGATATTAAAAGGGAAACATATCTGCCACCTGTCGCCATGCTGTTCGCGAACTTTGCGACTCATCTACAATCTTAAGGGCAGTTTTGTACGAGCGAGATTTTCCAATTTTCTACTGATTTTAACGAAATATATTATATACATAGAGTAGTTTAGTATGGATTTAATAAACGTATTT